AAAATTCACAATATGTACTACATAGTAAATTCAAAATTCGTTATCATTTTAAGAGGATTTTTTTATTGTAATGACAACGATTAAATCTTGTCACTAGTCAACAAGTCGTTACACTTTAACAAGTGCCATGCTGGCCAACTACAAAAGATGAAACTGCTTTAAAGTATTTGAAAGTGCACTGTATAGGAATTTCTCAGTTGATGAATTTCTAAACAATTGTTTAGACCTATGCCAAGCGCGAATATTAGGTACTAGGAGAGCGAAATTTTTGTGTAATAAATCAAATCGAATCCGCCCTCGAGCTGTTCGGGCGGATGCAGCAGGGAGATCCTCGACGCGTCAGCTCATCACGAGCTGGAGGGTAGGTGAGGGAGCGTGACGGAGGAGCAGGAGGGGAGAGAAATAGGGGGGGGGGGAGGGCGTTCTGCGACGACGACCTGTGCGCATCGCGCGCTGATTTAAGCGAGCGAAAAGATCGAGCGCACGCCGTGTTGAGCAAGACCGCCATGAATAAGGAAATGGGGCGTACGGGCGGCAAGGAGGGTGGCGCGGCGGGGCGCCGGGGGGAGGGAGAGGGGGCGTTCGCCGCCGGGTGCCGATGGGCGGGCTGACGAGCTCCTGGGGGGATGACGCTGGGCTCCGGTGAGCGGGTCAGCCAAAAAGATTTGTCGGTAGTATCCCCTTTGGCGGCACAGTGTTGCGACAGCTCGCCTGCAAGCTGCAACCCTCAGGCTAATCCTCGGTATGAGGTAAATGATAATAGAAACACACTTCCCTTGGAGCGTGCCCGGCTGTTGCTGCCGAGTTGCGCCAGACGCGCGCAAAAGCCGGGGCTGTAAAGCTCAAGGTGAAGAAGAACGGGTAATAGACTGTAACGATGGTGGAAACACCATCGGCGATTATGTGAACAAAAGACTGAATGAATCGCGGCGCTGGCGCGGACGGCGGGGGTGGGGTGGGCGGAGGCGGGGCGGGGCCTTGTTAAGGATTGTAAGACCCATCCCCGAACACGGTCCGCCCCCTCCACTCGCGCCGCGGGGTGGTGGTGGGGTGGCGCGGAGGCGGACGGGCGGACGGACGGCGGGCGGACGGACGGCAGGCGGACGGACCGACGGACCGGCGAAGCGGCGAGCCGAGGCAGGGAGGCTGAGCTGCCGCAGGAGGCTGCCGCTCGTGCTGCTCCGCGGGCACCCCGAATCGTACCCGAACAGTCGACCGGTGAGGACGTGTCGCCGTCGAGCGGTCCCGGACGCACCGACCACGTGGACAGCGCGCGTCGTCTGCCGTGACAGTGTGTGACAGTGTGTGTGACAGTGTGTGTGACAGTGTGTAACAGTGTTTGCCCGCGTGACTGCGCGCGCGCGCGTGTGTGGGCCAGTGAAACAAGTGCGTGACACAGTGCGTGACGGGCTCAGGATCGTCTTGGATTAGATCCTGATGCTGCATGCTGCCCGCCGCTGAGGACCGGTCCGTGCTGGGTCCCTTGGCCTCGCCCCTGGGCCCCCTGGGGACGGCGGTCGGCACCGTGGCGACCTACGAGACGCTCCCGCTGCCCCGGCAGCCCGGCCAGGGCGGCCAGGGCCAGGGCGGCTCGGCCGACGACAGCTCGCGGTCCTCCCTGTGCAGCGAGAGCCCGCCCCTCTCCAGGCACGGCATGCTCGACCTGTCGCCCAACCCGTCCTCCATGCTGTCCTTCCTCAACGCGGGCGCCGGGGGCGGCTTCCTCCTCGGCAACCCTCCCCTGGCCGCCCTACACTCCATGACGGAGATGAAGTCCAACGCCCTCTTCCCGCCCGTCAGCCACCTGAGCCCCAACTCGGGTAAGGCCAGCCCCAACGGGTCGTCCACCTCCTCGCACACGACGTCCTCGGGCGCGTCGGCCACCGCCAACCCCCACGGCATCGACCACATCCTGAGCAGGCCCCCGGCCGTCACCGTGCCCGGGGCCTCGCCACAGAGCAGAGGTACGTGCAGCAAACCGCGCGGCTGTCCGGGGCTCCCGACTCCCCGACCAATCATGTTTACCACATGCGTTTGAGCTTGGGTGTTTATTCCCAAAGTAGTTACTATGCCGTTGAATTTAAACTCAAAGCAAGTTGTATGCTTAGTGCATAACTGACCCCATTCTAGAACTAGGGAATCGCGCGTGCGGGCGGTTTGAGTGAAATAGGAAAACGTTGTCCAACCCGTGCGACACGGTGCTGGTGTCCGCAGCGGTGCCGCGCTGCGCGGCCGGTGGGGGGCCGGCTGTCCTCCGCCGAGTCGCGCGGCACCCCACCGAAGTCGCCGGAGTACGTATCGGTTTGGCGCAACGAGTAACAGCTGTCCCTAATTA